TGATGACAACTGGGATTGTCACTCTGGTCTCCTGAGCAAGCTGATCAACGTAACTTCGCGCGTGTTCAATGGTGTCTGGATCTCGGCCAAAGGATAAACACCCGATGTAAATGCCTTCTCGGGACAAAGTGCGAACAATGGAGCACGATTCTTCCCAATCAAGATCGATGACCCCGTGGAAGTCTAGAAGCGCTAAGGCAATCTGTTCCGAATGTCCACCCTCGATGCCGAAAGCTTGAAGCAGATCGTCTGCTGCTTCCCTAGGACGGATCAGCGTTGCCCCTCCAACTCTTTGCTGCCGACGAGTCGATGAGGAAGGCCGGGGTGATCTTGACCTACTTGGCGGCGGATGGCTGGGCGGTGTCGGCCCTGTGGCTAAAGCTGCAGCTGGTGCAGTGCTTGCTGCCGAACCAGAGCGAAACATAAGTTCAAGGTGTTCCACACTCAACCCCGCGTCGCGTGCGAAGTCTTCTGAGTCTTGATAATCCGCAATTCGCTTGCCCAATGTTGCTGCAAACTTGGTGACCCGATGTAACTGATGAAACAGGTCAGCCTCGCTTGAAGTCAGCTGCGACTTTTGTTCAAGCGCGTGGTGTGCTTGAGTGAGGGGAAAAAGACAATCCGGTCTTTCCACCACGAGTTGGCCGAGGAGTATCTCACTCATACAACGGGGCACAGCAACAAAGACACTAAACAAACAGCGCCTGTTTGGGCCAACGTCTGCGTGTCAAGGTCTTTCTTTTCTCTCATTCTTTAGGGTCACAGTTGGTCTTGCTGTTCCAATTTTCAGGGAGCGCGTCGCCTAAAGCGATCAGCGTCCAGTATTCGATATGGAAGTTGTGTGGGTCGCAGGTGCGAACACCACAGGTTAATGAGTCTTAAGAATGTGAATACGAAAATGAACTTGGAAGATTACGAGCGAGGCCTAGACCAAGCTACTAGCAATCCCAAAGTCTCTTGCTGCACTTCTTGGCCAACACAGCGGTCGCGCGAAGCGATCACACTGCAGCCAGGAATCTGAACTCAATGCGACAATCTCCAATCCACGTCCAGCCTGTGCAATCCGATCGGGCGGCTGGAAAATGGGTGGCTCAGGCCCAAGGCAAATGGGCTTCCTGTTTTTTTGCGACGGTAAGCGGTGTTTTTTGCTACGGTGGCCAGGTTTGGTGTTTTTTGCGTCGGTCACAAGCCGGTGTTTTCTGCGTCGGTTCCTCGGTGTTTTTTGCGACGGCCCCGGGTGTTTATTGCACTGGTAACCGGTGTTTTTTGAAACGGTGGTGTTTTCTGCGGTGTTTTCTGCGACGGTAACCGGGGTATTTTGCGACAGTTGGAGGGCGGCCGTACAGGTACTAGTACTAGTACTAGTACTAGTACTAGTAGTACTACTACTAGTAGTAGTAGTAGTACTACTACTACTACTACTAGTACTACTACTACTACTACTCCTACTACTCCTACTGCTACTGCTACCACTACCACTACCACTATTACCACTATTACCACTATTACCACTATTACCACTATTACCACTATTACCACTATTACCACTATTACCACTATTACCACTATTACCACTGTTACCACTTACCACTATTACCACCACTACTACTACTACTACTACTCCTGCTACTACTACTACTACTACTTTTACTGCGACGACGACTACTACTACTACTGCTACTACTACTACTACTACTGCTACTGCTACTGCTAATACTACTACTACTGCTACTACTACTACTACTACTAGTACTACTACTACTACTACTACGACCTCCTACTGCTACTACTACCTCCTACTGCTACTGCTACTGCTACTGCTACTGCTACTGCTACTACTACTACTACTGCTGCTACTACTACTACTACGACGACGACTACGACTACGACTACGACTACGACTACTACTACTACTACTGCCACTACTTTTACTACTACTACTACTACTACTACTAGTAGTACTACTACTATCCATGTCCATCTACTGGCTATACTATCGTGATATGGCTGGGCCCGGAGTGCAATGGTGACATTGCGCATTGTGCGATCTACTCTGCTAAAAAGGCTTGATGTGCATAAAAGATTACAAAAGTGACATTCGCACTCGGTGAAAAACCGCGACCCGGTAAATCTGGTGGTCGCGAATACTATTTAGTATTCCGTGCAATTGACTTTCCTTTTGATCTGGGGGTCAGTACTTGGTTTGTGGCTACAACGAAGAAGAACAAGAAGAAGAAGCAGAAGAAGAAGAAGAAGAACAAGAAGAACAAGAAGAACAACAAGAAGAGTTTTACATTGCAACACAAGAAGAACCAAAAACAAGAGTCGCACAGTTCCGCTCTGCGGGGGGAGGCGCTGCGCCCCCCCCCGCGCCCCCCACCCGCCGTATTTTTGTTAGAGCCGCTCTCACCTTGCGAGCTCATTGCACAGCAGAGCACCACCAACACCACAACTACCCTGAAGCAGCACGTCGCCGTCGTCGTCAACTACCCTGAAGCAGCACGTCGTCGTCATCGTCGTCGTCGTCGTCGTCGTCGCCGCCCGTCGCGCACACTCGTCCCTCGTGTGCGCACCGGCCGCCTCGACTCCTCCTCCTCCTTCTTCCTCTCACCGGCCACTGTCGCAAAAAACACCGACCACTAGCGCAAAAAACACCATTATTGGGGCACCATCGCAAAAAACACCGGCTACCGTCGCAAAAAACACCGGCTACCGGTCAACAAAACACCGATTCACATAACCGTCTGGAAATACACCGGTTACCTGAGAAGAGGGGACGAAAGCCAGGAACTAGTTGGAACGGGGAGACGAGAGTGGAGAGGATGGGAGGGATTTCGGCGGGGGTTGGTGGAGGAGGCGGCAGTGCGAGGCTATATTGAGTGCCGTTTTGGAATCCGTCGGGGAGAGGGAAGGAATGTGCAGGAGACTTGACATACTATACTTGACACTCCATATGTGGCATTTTACATTCCACACTGGACTGGTTCGACGTTAGACTTTACAGTCTATACTATAGAATTCACACCCCTACATTTCATACTGTACAAGTTTTATTTTACATTCCTGGCTCTTCACTGCACACCTGACACAACAGGAAACAATGGGATTTTCTAATCTTTCCATCAAGTATGACAATGATGGGGTTCCATAGATTTTGCTGAAGGTAAGCTAAGAGGGAGCCATGCAAAAGTAAGAAACATTACCAGTACGAGTAGATTCTGCAGATGGTGGATTCATCCAAGTGTGTATCAAGTTCCTCATCTGCTAGCTTCTATTAGTCAGAATCCATGACGAGACGATGTCTCAGAGTTTCAAAGTTGAGCTATGTCGAGCAACTTCCGGCAAACTACTTTGGAGTCTTCATGCCTGCTATAGAGGTGTTTATTGGGGCTTTGCTGTGCGACTTTGGACGACTGCCACCCATCAGTCCCTGAATGTCGTTGATTGACCCACCAGCAAACCTAACTTGCACAGTGCACACCATTTTTTGGGGCCACGATGCCTCTCGTCGTACGTACATACGTACGTAGGTATGTATGTACGCATGCGTGCATGCATGCATGTCTGTATGTCTGTATGTATGTATGTCACCGGAAATGCCTGAATAGAGACCAACGAATGCGCATGCTGGGCTCTACAAGACCGCGAATCAATTCTCAACACTTTTTAAAAAGTGTTTAGAATTCTTAGCATCGTTCAAGACCGACAAAAAGCGTAATGAGTTGCCCGAAAAGAGGAGGTGGAGGTCACTTTTGGGTATGTATAACCTCCGAGAAATTAAACATGATCCACTACAGGATGACAACAAAATTATTTATGATAATCACAATAACAACTTCATTTCGGTATGTTTGTCGGGATCAAAATCTAGTGCCCCCCCAAAATATATTGACATCTTGTAGACATATATACATAGATGCATACATATACATATATATATATATATGTAATCTATACACGATATGATATGATACTATGTTGTAAACTGGTGGAATACATCGAATCCCGTCCGGTGGATATCAAATGCTGTCTGGTTGCAAGCCGCAATACTGCAAAACTGTGGGCTATACATGGCTATACACATGTGATTGCAAAGCTTTCGGATCAGACACCCGTTTTGGCGACCTCAAAATCGGGGCCGGCATTGAAGCCATGCATGCAGTTGGGCTACAAAATACTTATGAACAAAAAAGGAGCGATGGTTCGAGACAGCAATAGTTTGCAAAGCAGCTGCAAAGCCGATGCTGCACTAGTGGACCATGTGAGACTCCGTTCTTGCTTCATTTCCCCACCATTCCCGTCGCCCCCAATGCACGTTTTTCCGTGCCCCCAATGCACGTCACTGGACGGACCAGGGGGGAATCGAACCCCACCGTCACCCAATTGCCACCTGGTACATCAGCCTCAAAATCGACCACGGTGGCCACCCTATTCAGTTGGGGAAGTGCCTCAAAATGGTCCGTTTTGAGGCGACCGCCCTCCGGACCCCCTATTCTCACTTCGTTCGCAAAGAGCAACTTAAGCCAAGCTTGGCAGCTGGCTTTCGTAATATGTAAGGAATGTAAGGCGCAGTCCGTACCAGCAGAGCCGGTACGGCTGATAACCAGTTATTTGAATGCAAAACTCACCCGGTACCGGCACAAACCAAAACACCGGACTGTTTTACTTGAGCCAAAAGTAACATATTGAACTATGTGAAACCACGGGTCAAGCAGTGGGTAAAAGCATGACCCTTAAGTTTCCTAGTCCTGCTACGCCTGAGAAATGTTATGTACCAGAAGTGTATGTCCCATTCAACTATTAAGGCAAATAATGATGTTGACTGTATGCCAACTGTATGCATCCTTTCGATTTGGGGTCAAGAGTCTATGGTGGCGCCATGTGCACTAACGCAGTGCATTTCTGCCCTCAGGACATGGGATTACCACGACTTTCAAAAGGCTCCAGAGATTTCTGTCACTGGAAGAATCTGAAAGTTTTCGAGCACATCGAGCACTGTCCTAGGCAAGGTTCCAGAAGAAAGTGCAAGTATTGATCGCCTTGCAGCGATGCAGAAGCGGGGCAGCGCGGAGTGCGAATGAAAACAGAATCAGGCCAGCGACCAGAACGCCGTTAAATTCGTTATATATATAGATAATAATAATAATAGTAATAATAATAATAATATATTATATATATATGCAGTTTGCAACTTCGTGTTGTCATTTTCCTTTTACCTTTGAAAAGCTGATTTTGGTTTGCGTTCAAACCAAGCCATTCCCATCTGTTCCCCTCCCGCAAAGTCATGGCAGCCATGGCGCTGTTGAAGCACTCCACAAGCCGCACGATGAAGGGAGAGTACGTCATGATGAGGGCCTTGCTGCACTTTCTCGGTTTTCTCGGTTTGTCACCTCTTTGCGTTTAATACTTAAAGCCTGGAATCCGAAGACTCTAAACAAAACCGTGAACAAATATAAATCTGACAATATTTTCCAACAATATGATACAATATGTGTGTTTATATATTTTATATGTACATATCATATATGTGTTGTTGTTTAGAAAGAAAGCAAGAAATGTTGAGAATTCGGCTTTCTTCTCACTGAGCACAGTGTCCTGCCGTTCAAGTCGTTGCAAGTCGTTGCAAGTCGTTGCAAGTCGTTGCAAGTCGTTGCAAGTCGTTGCAAGTCGTTGCAGGGTTTCTGATGGTTTCTGCGTCGGAAAGTCATGTCCTCCATGCCATAGTGCATGATCAAGCCTCGCATCGCGCAGCTCTGAGATACCAAGACGTTGGAATTGCCACATGTTGCGTGCGCGAAGTCACGATGTCACAAAGCCAAACACATGTCGATTAGTCAAAAGACTTTTCTCATGTCAGGTCAAATCCTGCAAGGCACGTCAAGACATTAACAATATTACAGATCCATTAAGACTTTAAGACATTAAGTAATATTAACATCACCATCATTACCGGTTACCATCCATTACCGGTACCGACCAAAGAATGACACGTTTATCAGGTCAACCGAGCTCGACGGCACCTTTATCGATGCTCTTCAAGGCATACGTGCTGCCGGTGACCTGAAGCTGCGGTCAGTCTTTTCACCTCTTTACATTCTTTAGTGTGTGAGAGAAATGCGAAGAAATGTGAAGAGTGAAATGCCTTCAAACAAAAAAGCAAAACTGCGACAAACATACAAAGATTACAGATGATTACAGTATGTTGTAAAGAAATCATTGCTTTGCCATGCTTTGCCTCAGTTCAAAGCTTCACAAAGACTCCGAGAAACGTCATGAATTCAGGCCAGGTACCATGTGCTGCCAGAGTTCAACCTTCGAGAAACCTCCAACACCAAGTAGGCCAACAAAGGAAAGGTCCTTCAGAGACACGCAAAAGTTTAGCCTTCAGAGGCACATTGACAAAATTAAGCACATGGGACTACATGGAACGCTGATGTGCCACCATTCACAGTCTTGAATATGTTTCCGACATTTGACTTTGGGAGTAAACGCATGGCTAGACAACCATCTAGAGCAGTCAGCACCACAAGACTGCACATACTGCGCTCCACACCTGCATGAAGACCTGCCAATCACATCCAATCACAACAGCAATGACTCATAGGACATACTTGCTGTGATAGTTTACTTTCTCTGAAATGTCTGAACGTGCACAGCATTCACACCGGAGAAGGTACATGTACTTGCGGTACATGCAGTAGTTATCAGTACGTACATGCAGTACATGGTTGATGCCTGCAACATGGTTACAACTTGCAATATCGCAGCAACATGGCCAGTACTTGCAAACAAATGCAAACATTGTAGCGCTACATTTGCAAAGACTTCACATTTGTAGCGCGAAATATGTGCAGTCGTCGTGAGATGCGGTGCAAGTGCCCCAAGCCTTGTCCCGATCAGGGGCCAGTGCGTGGCCGTCAGTCCTGGTGACATCTTGTGACATCTGGTGTCACACAGGTCAGAGTCTGACCATGTCTTGATCATGTCTCGATGCTGCGTTGTGCATCCCTCTGCAGCTCTGGCGCCTCTTTTCCTCCTGGGGAGATAGCGTGTCCTTCCTCAAAGCCCTCTGGCTTGCGATGACTTCCTACACAATCTACACAAAATATATGGCCAAGAGTGAGCAGCAAAATGAGCAGCGAAATGCACGACATTCTACGGAATTGAATGACTTCCTCTGTGACAAAAAAAACGACTCTGACTAGGAACATCAAGGAACTGCCATTGGGGGCCTTAGGGGCCAATGGTGAAATGAGTTCATTGCCCCTGAAACCGTGCCTGCTGCCTGTTGGGGCCTATGGGATCCGTGGGGCCTAGGCCCTGGCCTTCAATGGTCCTAAGAGCTTTTGGAAAGAGTCGCGGTCCAAGACCAAGCAACGCACTGTGGATGACCTCACCTCACAGCATCAACTTGTGCCACCAAAACCCAACAGATCCAAACAGATCCAAACAGATCCAAACAGATCCAAACAGATCCAAACAGATCCAAACAGATCCAAACAGATCCAAACAGATCCAAACAGATCCAAACAGTACATTCGTTGAATTCGTTGAATGTTCAAAGATGGTCCATCAAGCTATGCGCCAAAACAACAAAAATGCCCCCAAAGAAGGAAGTGGCGGTGGTGTGTGAAGTGGCCGAAGAGGTTTCGGACATTTTTCTGGCAGGGGATGTGGAGCAGGTCTGTGTGTGGATCTGTGTAAATCTGGATGCGGTTTGTGTGGGGGGTTCTGTGGAGCAAACTTAGCAAGGAAAAACTGTTTGACAAACTTTCAACACATATTGATGTCTGCTGCAGGTTCATGTGAAAACTGTGGTTTTGAGGAGAGGAGTCCACTAGGGCTTGCAGGTGGAGGACTGTTGGGGTAGAACTGCACATAAATTCGAACACATGCACTTGTTGAACAAGCTCAAAAAACATACTGCTAACAGCCCCTTCTTGTGCTGCCGTGCTTTCCCCTTTCCAAAATCAACTGGCCAGCGTGATCCTGCCTGGACAGTTGCAGTTCGGCTCTCATCTTCCAACCTTGTCCGGAGTGACAAGAGGAATGCAAGGTGGACAAAATGGAATTGTTTTCCTCCCTATGCTCAAAGCATCTTCAATGCGCCTGACCTCTATCGATCTTTTCTGTTTGTGTTTGAAGCAGTTGCCTTGCCATTGCCTTGTCTTTAACTCGTCTTTGTATCTGCTTGTGACTTGCATCCACATTCTCTTACTAGAGCTGTGCTGAGCTTGCGTCAAAGCAAACTCTCCAAAGTACTGAATCGAAAGGTGTTCAAGTTTATCAACATGCTTCAACAAGAGGCAGCAGAAGCAAAATGAAGCCAGCTTTCACTGTGTCCTGGGTAGTTTTGCGGTTGACACTTGCCTTGATAGGGCAGACAAGCTGTGGTATAGATAGGCAAAGGCTGAACACAGTGCAAGACTTGCAGCCTCTTGAAAACAAAGAGACCAGATGGACCAAATCGGACCAAATCGGACCAAATCGGACCAAATCGGACCAAATCGGACCAAATCGGACCAAATCGGACCAAATCGGACCAAATCGGACCAAACCGACCAGCACAGTACTTTTGTTAAGTGTCGTAAAGTGTCGTAAAGTTGTGTCAGGTACAAAGTCGCCCTGACCTCCAGGGTGGCCACCAGCTGGTCCTCCTGGCGTCTGGCAGTGCTTTGTGATTTGTTCGTGGTCGCCCCGAACCTACACACGAACGTAGAGTACGTAGAGTACAGATGAGTACAGATAAGTACAGTGCTATGATACGAAATGAATTCTAAATGTCTAAAAATGTCTAAATGATACCACTATGGCCATTGTTTTGTGGACGCCCTTCTACCCGTTTTCCTTTCAAATGTTGTGATTGCTTGCACCTTCATTTCTCTTATCTCCTTTTTCCACTATGAGGAACTTCTAAAAGCAACTTAGCACAGCTCAGCATCTTTCCTAAGTTCTTGGCATCGTTAATTCTTTTACCCTCTTGTCACCCAATACAAAGGTGCGACTCTGCTCCTTGAAGACATCGACTGTCCCTGAGAACATGATGTAGAAGGTGTTGCCGGTCTCTCCTTGGACGATGATATTCTCTCCTGCCAAAGTCTGCCGAAGATGCCCCGGCTTGACCACCCTGGATGCCTCCCGGACTTGCCCGACTTACCCGACTTACCCAGCTTGCCCTTTCTTTCTTGGGCACTTAAACATTGAAGTCAACTCATTGAACTCACTGAGCTCTTAAACACTCAGCAAAAGCCCGAAATGTAGACCTTGTGTGAAGACCATCTCGATGAGCGCCTGGGGAGCAGGGCAAGATGCCAAGGTCCAAACAGTATTCTCATCGGTCAGGAAAGCGTCAATACGAAACACAAAAGCTTGTAAATGCAGAAACTGTGAGAGCCTTTGCCAGTTCATTCCTCTCTTCCTTTAGAAGAGCTGACCTCGGAAGACCCAAAAAATGTACCACAGGGAGTGGAGATTCTTATGACATGCGCCGCCAAGAGCTTTCCAACAAGAGCCAGGCAGCAACGGCACTGTGTCCAAGTATCCTAGCAGATTGCAAGGCAAACCAGCGTAAGGCTGAACTCACCAATTGTGGCACTCTCAGCAACTGTCAGTCCCACGTCAAGGACCCACTTTCTGCTCAGTGATAAGAAAAATGCGTGCAAACAAATGGGGGTGATATCTTGTTTATAGGAAGTATACAGTAAATCTATAGCGAACGCATACATGATATAGGATATATATATATAGGTAATAGCACTCCCCTTCGTGGTCTTTGGGAAGGGTGAGTGGGTGATTCGTAGTATATAGTCAGTCTACAAGCTGTAGAGGTTACACGTAGCTGATAGCATAGCTACCTATAGATACGGTATATAGTCTATTGTGTAGAGAATATACAGGCATATAGCGACATATGTAGGTATCGGTGAAAAAATATACATATACTTCTTTTGTAGTTGTAGAGAGTACTATATAGGTGGGTGATATGTATTGTGCAGGGTATGTATATTGTATAGATTTGTATACATAGAATATTGGTAGAGGAACGGTAGTTCGGTAGGCAGTACAGAGCTAGATTGGTTTAGAGTGCAAAAAGAGCCTAGGGACTAGGAGGTTGTGGCTCCAAAATGATACAAATTGGGGGCTTTACCATTGGGATGATGGGAACACGGGACATGGAATTATAAATGTGTTATATTATATTATATTACATACATTATATGATATATATACACACATAAACTGAACATATCCTTATGTCCCTGGAAGTAGATGGCCTCGATACTCTTCGATCTTGACGTCAGATGCCTGGCCAAACCCCACCTCCCTGGAAATAGTGTGAAATATATTCTCCCAAACTGAAATACAGTGAAAGAATTTGAACTATATTAATATATATATAATGCATATTACAGGTATTGCATTTATTAAATGATCCTTTCTTAATGTTAAAAACGGCGCAGTGTCTCGTTGAAATCGATGTGTCCATTAGCACTGCGCACTGCAGTGCGTCGGCCTTCAAAAGGATGTTCTTGAACTGCTGTCGGTCGATGACCTGGTACACTTTCGCCCCGATGTCAAGAGCATGTTCTGAGCGTATTGCTGCATGTTCTGCATACTGCTTGGCAGATGTTCTTAAAGCATACTGCTCTCGCAATGGCGCAAACATTTCCGGCCAGGCAGACCCAAACTACTGCGTTTATCAGAGCCTTCAGAAATCACGGAAGAAATAGACTCACAAAGCGTTCATTGTTCACATATTCATGCGCTGTGCCAAGTGAACTTCAGACCCTTGTCCCACATCTTGTGCTACGGTTTGTGCTAAAGTTTGAAACGTCTTAAGCGCAACGCTCTCACAGTAGCTGCTCGCGGGGAGCAGTACAACCTAAAATGCCAACGTTGAAACAGCAAGGTGTCGGTTCACGGCAGTCATGACCAGATTCGAAGAAAAACCAAATTACTTTACTTCGTGTGATCCCCACCATGACATTTATACATTTTGTTACTGGCAAATCTTCTGGCATTCTATCTGACATATTTTCTGGCATTCTATCTGGCATATCTTCTGGCATTCTACCTGGCATATCTTCTGGCAGATGTTCTGGCATATCTTCTGGCAGATGTTCTGGCATATCTTCTGGCATTCTGGCATATGTTCTGGCATATCTTCTGGCATTCCATCTGGCATATCTTCTGGCATATTATCTGGCAAACTTTCTTGCATTCCATCTGGCATTCTATCTAGCATATCTTCTGGCATATTATCTGGCAAATCTGCTGGCATTCTATCTGGCAAACATTCTGGCACTTTATCTGGCATATCTTCTGGCATTCTAGCTGACATTCTATCTGGCATTCTATCTGGCATACCTTCTGGCATTCTATCTGGCATATCTTCTAACATTCTATCTGGCATATCTTCTGGCACTCTATGTGGCATATCTTTTGGCGTGGATACTCGCGGTTGAGGTCCGGCAGGGAACACTGGGCGTGGTTGAGGTCCGGCAGGGAACACTGGGCGGGGATGGTCGTGGTTGAGGTCCGGCAGGGAACACTGGGCGTGGATGGTCGTGGTTGAGGTCCGGCAGGGAACACTGGGCGTGGATGGTCGTGGTTGAGGTCCGGCAGAGAACACTGTGGATCGCGGGTCGCAGTTGGACGAGGACGACGAGGACGACGAGGACGACGAGGACGACGAGGACGACAAGGACGACAAGGATGACAAGGAGGACGAGGAGGACGAGGAGGAGAGGAGGAGGAGGAGGAGGAGGACGAGGCAGGAGTCAGGAGGAGGCAGGAGGAGGCAACTGACATAAAATCTAACAACCCTCACCTGCAGGTGGGGAACAAAACATATGCATCATATGTTTCATAATTATGGTTCATATCATGGTCCATATCGACCTCTTGTACATCTCTTATTGTTTTTCTTACGGATCAATCTGCAAAAGGATAGGATGGTATAGGCACATGAAGTCAAACATCAAATGTATTCAAATGTAGCAGCATTTGCACTTCCAGAAGGAAATGGCACCAAAATCATGCAGGGCTGGCAATGCGACCTCACCGAAACTTTGGCCTTCGTGGCTTGTGAACGCGTTCTTTCGGGGAAAAATGAAAAGAACTTGGGCTGTTTATGAACTGCCTGTTGAACTGCTCTTGAAGCTGTCAGCTGTGAACGCAAACTGCTTAAAACTGCAACTGCAAGTCTGCCATCACTAGTTTTCTCACAGTGCATCTTCGTTCGGCAAAACAATGGCTTCTTTCTCGCTCAGCTCACTGAGAACTGAATAATGATCTGTGATGATCTGTTTTCATATTTTTCATGAAACTCAAATGTCTCAAGAGTACGCAGTCTCGCTTCAAATGTACCGATTGATGAGCTGCTCCAAATACTCCTGTTCAAACATGTTCACCCCAATGCATCCAGTCGGCATATTTCAAGATCATTGACAATGATCAAAATGAGACAATCACATGAAATGGTGCTGTGAATGCAGTAAATGCGAGAGAATGCCTTGTTTTTGAAATCATTAGCCAGTAGCCACCAGCTGAAGCGAAGACCAACTGGCTGATTTTCAAAACTCCAATGCGATTTGGTAGAACAGGGTTACTGGGGTTTTTGGTTTTCCAGTTTCGTTTCCTGTGCAGCTGAAATGTAAGGGTCGTAAGATGTCGTAAGGGTCTGTTAAAGGAAAGTGGCTCCGTCCTGCTTGCCGCTGGAGGTCTTGGGCTCGGAGGTCTTCAAGGCGTAGGCCTCGATCTCCTCGAGGGATGCCTTGCCGTCCTCGACCTTCTTGGCCAACGCCGTGGTCGACCAGGACGAATACCTCAGGGATTCACCGTTTCACCCAACGGCCGAGATGGCCCCATTAGCATAAGCTGATGGCATGTGCAGCATTCAGCATGGCGTGAGATGCCTGTGATATTGTTTGAATGCTAATTGTTTGATATGCGCACCTTGCTTCCAAGGCTTTCTTCATGAGGCCCTCCTGGACCAATTTGCAGGCACCAATGAGGCCTCTGGCCAAGCAGTCCATACCGCCAATGTGAGCGATGAACATGTCCTGGCACAGCGGACAGGGCGCATTTTCAGAAAAACGAGCTCTAAATGGGCCAGAGAGCGACACCACCAGACTGCAGTGAAGGCTTGAAGGCTTGAACATCTCAGGTCCCTCTTAGTTTTTGCCAACACTTTGACCAAATGGAGAAACTTGGGACACCTCCGAGAACGCACTTCGTCAAAGCACTATTGGAGCTACTCCGTCCTCGATGTCAGTGCTCTCTCGTCTGAGCTTGCAATCGAAGTTGTTGCCCCCGGGTGCGATGCCGCCCTGTTCCACCACGATGAGCATCGAGAGTAAGCACTTCCTTCACAGATTAACAGAGAGCATAGACAGAACATCATTGTACGGAGAGCGTAACAGAGAGCATCAGTTTTTTGCAGGACAGGACACAATGTCAGATCCATCAGACAGATCCTAACATTCCCACTGACCTGCTTCCACTGTGGAGTCTGCTTCCACTGAAGCTGTATGGTTTGCAGTTGGCAGTGTACTCGCAACAGGTTGTAACAGGTTGTAACAGGTTGTAACAGGTTGTAACAGGTGGATACAGGTGGATACAGGTTGTAATGGTTGTACATATCAATGCAACTGATCATAACTAATCCATGCTTCTCACACCAGTACCGTCTGCTTGTGTTGGCTTCACATTTCCGTCTGCCTCTTCCAGGATAAACCCTGTATCGACCCTGTATCGACCCTGTCTCTCCTGGGATCTGAAGGGAACTCGTCAGTGTCCCATCCCAGGTAGGGCTGTCCAGCATTGCAATCGATGGATCCTTTGATGTGTTCAGATCAATCGGCAGAAGTTCAACAACTTCAATAAAATTCAAGAAAGTTCAATTGCAATCAAAATCAATAATTATTTACATGTCAAGATCAAGTGTTCTTTTTTGGGAACCTATCTGAGTTCTTCAAAGTCACAGACCACCTTCTAAACAGTTCTTAGACTAGGTTTTTTCCCTCAGTCCAAGCGTTACAGGTGTCTCTCGTGTTGCACACTCTGAGACTCTGGCCCAACATTCCCAGAGCAGACGCCATTCGCAAATCATGCTCGTAATCATGGCCTGAAAAGATCAAATCTCAAGAGCTTGGGAAACTGAAACATGCACCACGATCAGTGATAAAAACAGTGAGGAAGATGGGGGTCATCTTCAAGGCAGTGGTGCCAGACAAGTGCCAGGATTCCACGAAAAAATGTGTTTTTTCGGGTGGAACTGAATCATTGTGCAAGTGATTCTGGCAATAAAAGCTTGAATTTGTGGATTTTGAACTGCTCATGGCACCTGCCAAAGTGGTGTGGTTTGGCTCGATGTTGACTTTGAACTCGTTTTCCAGGCCATGCCTTATGCTAGGCCGACATGCCAACACCAGGCAAGAAGAAAAAATGATTCTCGAATGAAGATAGGCTGCGAGGGTTGAAATCAAACCAGGGCCGGTTGCCACCCTGCAAACCCAACATGGGCTGTCAGTGCAAGCGTTGCGCCCAGTGTAGAAAGGTATTGTGCGCTTCATGACACCAGGAAAAAAATGCAAGCGGCAAAACCAGGATGGAAATTAGTTGAAATCAAACATGTGCAAGGTCAACAAAGGAAGCTTTGGAGAGAAATCGTGTTTTGGAGATTTAAGAAGGGCAGAATGGAGAAAAGAAGAGAAGACTGAAGAGCAGACTACAGCAGAAAAGAGTAGAAAAGAGCAGGGAAGCGTAGAATAGAGCAGGGAAGTGTAGAATAGAGGAGAGAAGAGCAGGGAAGTGCAGAATGGAGAAGAGTAGCACGGAATGAACAAAAGTAGAGAAGAGTAGAGTAGAGTAGCGAAGGGTAAAGAAGAGAAGAGCAGAGAAGAGTGGAGAAGAGTAGGGCAGAAAAGGTAGAATGTAGTAGCCTCTTGATCGTCCAGTTTCATGTCTGAAGGACAAGGAAAGCTGCATTTTCACAACTTCAACTTTCATTCGCAGTCGACATGCTGTTTGGCAGGGTTTTGTCTCCACCTTTTGGCGCTGTGCATCGCTTGAAATCCTTTTGAAACTCCCCTTAAAATCCTTAAAATCCTTAAAATCCTCAAAAGGCTTAAGAGGCACTGAGATCCAGTTCTGGGAGTCAGGAGGCACGGAGAGAAAAAGATGTAAAGGGACCGAGGTGTCATGAGAGAAACAGATGACAGGAGTAAGAGATGTCAAGAGTCAAGAGCAAGAGATGATAGAGATTTCAAGAGAAAGCTTTCTCAATGCATAGGCGGTCTTGCACACATCCTGCACGCACCTTCCTTATATTGTTTTTGCCTGATAAGCCCTTACCTGTTGAAATTTCTGCCTCCGGCTTGCCTGGGTACTACTCATACATGAAAGTGACATGCAAGAATTGAATGAAATTGAATAATCATCGAATCTATAAGGCTCCAACTGATACAAGAAACCAATGACCGTTTGGGCATCGTAGTCGTATTGATGCGCAGTTGGCTCACGAGCTTTGGGCTCAATGGTGAATTGCGCCTTGAATCCGATCTTCTTTTTGTAAGCCACGGCCATCTTCAGAAAGGTGGCCATGTGGTCAAGTTCACTCTTGACCTGTGACAAAGCGAGCTCACCTCCCCAAGAAACAAGCCATGGCCATGACGCCCACATCATGACATCGGAATTCACCCAAAAATCACAGGAACCTTCGTGTTGAGAGCAGTTGCAAACCCCTCGCGGCCACCCCAAAAGACGTGCGTGTCTGCATCCAATTTCTTCCCAACATCCAGCATCTTCTTTGTTTGTGCCTCGCAACGCGATAAGCACAACACAGGTGCAAGTGACCCAAGTCACATTCAACCTTCAATTTTGCATGGTATATGCACCATCTATTCTGCACAACCTGTGAGAACCTTCCACTTTAGATGATATTTGAATCACTGTGAAACATTGATGTGTTAACATGTTCACTCTCATCTAATTTAGCCTTTCTCATGTTCTTACACCAGAGAAAGAACTAATGGGAACACGAAGCAAAATAGAAACAAATGGGAGGGTTTTTGCTGTTCTTACTGTTCTTCCTATTTTTGTTGTTCTTGTTGGCTCAGACACTCTGCGCCGTAGCAATTTTCACGTTCATTTCGTACTGTCTCTCAGAATACAAACGTGTTTCCCAAGTCTGTGCCGGGGTGAGTTTCACAATATAAAACATTCCTCCGTTCCAAGAATCGTTCCCTCCTCCCACGCTCTAAACATTTTGCAATTGACGTTTGTTAAAATGTTTTTTTTGTTTTCAGTTATGGTTGTTTATGCTGGTGTGGGGTAGGCTAAAGGTCGGAAATTGTTTTTTTTCTGTACGCGCGCGTTTCCCATGCTCTTGGCAACATTTTGGAGCTAGAATCTTCCGCTTTGCACTGGTACTGTATTTGCCATCATCTGTAGTTGGTTGTGGGTTGTGGGTTGTGCGTCCACATCGCTATGTAGGGTCGCTCCTCTCCTCCTCCTCCTCCTCTTCCTCCTCCCTCCTCCTCCTCTCCTCTTCCGCCGTCATCCTCCGACCATGACGTTTAACTTCCGTCTTTTTCTATCGTACCTGTGTCAACTTCTCTATCAACTCTCCTATCATATCTGTCTTCACCTTTTCTATCACCTCTTCATTCCTCCGTCACTTCCTATGACATCTCCGTCTCATTCTAAAAAAATCGGCCTTGCCTTCTCTATCAACTTTCTGTCACATCTGACTCTACCTTTTCTATCAACTTTTCTATCATTTTTTGCTTCGTCTTAACTGTCTCTATCAACTTACTTATCTATTCTTATCTGTGTCCAGTGTACCTTCCCATCCTTCCGTCCCTTCGGCACTTCCACTAGACTGGTCCCTTGGCGTGGCTCTCTGGAGACTGGTCTCTTGGTGCTGCCGCAATGCCGCCTTGCTCTGTGGGTTGTGGGGCGCCTGGCCGTCCCGCTTTGGGGGTTGTTTTGCGGCCGTTTGTGCCTCTGACAGGCTGTGGCTTCCGCGCTTTGGGGCACTGGCTTCCACTTTGGCGGCCGGGGCTGTTTTGGGGAACCCTTTGTACGGCATGGCATTGGCAAAATCTGGAAATAGAACCTTTCATGTCGCATGGTATTTGTAATATTTTGGACATGGTATCTGTATTTTTCGAACTTAAACCTTCCAGGTTGCAAAGTTTGTGCAGTACTATGGAACTTCGAACTTCCCATCTTGCACAGTATATACAATATTGTGAAGTTTCAGCCTTCCAGTTTAGCTCGAGACATGGGCCATGGATCGCAGAGACAACTTAGTTGTAGTTTTATGTAGTTTTGGTCCTTCTTTGTGGTTGATGCTTTTGATGTTCTTGCTGTTCTTGCTGCTCTCGGTCTTATTGTTCTTGCTGTTATTCTTGTTGTTGTTCTTCTTCTTGCTGTTCTTGTTGCTCTCGGTCTTTTTGTTTTTGTTGTTCTTGTTGTTGTTCTTCTTCTTGCTGTTGTTGTTGCTCTCGCTCCTGTTGTTCTTGCTGTTCTTGTTGTTGTTCTTCTTCTTGCTGTTCTTGTTGCTCTCGGACTTATTGTTCTTGCTGTTCTTGTTGTTTTTGTTATTCTTGTTGTTCTTGTTGCCCTTCTTTCTTGTTGTTTTTGCTGTTCTTGTTGTTGTTCTTCTTCTTGCTGTTCTTGTTGCTCTCGGTCTTATTGTTCTTGCTGTTCTTGTTGTTTTTGTTATTCTTGTTTTTCTTGTTGTTCTTGTTGCCCTTCTTTCTTGTTGTTTTTGCTGTTCTTGTTGTTGTTCTTCTTCTTGCTGTTCTTGTTGCTCTCGGTGTTATTGTTCTTGTTGTTCTTGTTGTTCTTGTTATTATTGTTGTTCTTGTTGCCCTTCGTTCTTGTTGTTTTTGCTGTTCTTGTTGTTGTTCTTCTTCTTGCTGTTCTTGTTGCTCTCGGTCTTATTGTTCTTGCTGTTCTTGTTGTTTTTGTTATTCTTGTTGTTCTTGTTGCCCTTCTTTCTTGTTGTTCTTGCTGTTCATGTTGTTGTTCTTCTTCTTGCTGTTCTTGTTGCTCTCGGTCTTATTGTTCTTGCTGTTGTTGTTTTTGTCATTCTTGTTGTTCTTGTTGCCCTTCTTTCTTGTTGTTCTTGCTGTTCTTGTTGTTGTTCTTCTTCTTGCTGTTCTTGTTGCTCTCGGTCTTATTGTTCTTGCTGTTCTTGTTGTTTTTGTTGTTATTGTTGTTCTTGTTGCCTTTCTTTCTTGTTGTTTTTGCTGTTCTTGTTGTTGTTCTTCTTCTTGCTGTTCTTGTTGCTCTCGCTCCTGTTGTTCTCGCTGTTACTCTTGTTGTTGTTCTTCTTCTTGCTGTTCTTGTTGCTCTCGGTCTTATTGTTCTTGCTGTTCTTGTTGTTTTTGTTATTCTTGCTGTTCTTGTTGCCCTTCTTTCTTGTTGTTCTTGCTGTTCATGTTGTTGTTCTTCTTCTTGCTGTTCTTGTTGCTCTCGGTCTTATTGTTCTTGTTGTTCTTGTTGTTTTTGTTATTCTTGTTGTTCTTGTTGCCCTTCTTTCTTGTTGTGTTTGCTGTTCTTGTTGTTGTTCTTCTTCTTGATGTTGTTGTTGCTCTCGCTCCTGTTGTTCTTGCTGTTACTCTTGTTGTTGTTCTTCTTCTTGCTGTTCTTGTTGCTCTCGGTCTTATTGTTCTTGCTGTTCTTGTTGTTTTTGTTATTCTTGTTGTTCTTGTTGCCCTTCTTTCTTGTTGTTTTTGCTGTTCTTGTTATTGTTCTTCTTCTTGCTGTTCTTGTTGCTCTCGTCCCTGTTGTTCTTGCTGTTATTCTTGTTGTTCTTCTTCTTCTTGCTGTTCTTGTTGCTCTCGGTCTTATTGTTCTTGCTGTTGTTGTTGTTGTTTTTGTTATTCTTGTTGTTCTTGTTGCCCTTCTTTCTTGTTGTTTTTGCTGTTCTTGTTGTTGTTCTTATTCTTGCTGTTCTTGTTGCTCTCGGTCTTATTGTTCTTGCTGTTCTTGTTGTTTTTGTTATTCTTGTTGTTCTTGTTGCCCTTCTTTCTTGCTGTTTTTGCTGTTCTTGTTGTTGTTCTTCTTCTTGCTGTTCTTGTTGCTCTCGGTCTTATTGTTCTTGCTGTTCTTGTTGTTTTTTGTCATTCTTGTTGTTCTTGTTGCCCTTCTTTCATGTTGTTTTTGCTGTTCTTGTTGTTGTTCTTCTTCTTGCTGTTCTTGTTGTGTTTTTGTCATTCTTGTTGTTCTTGTTGCCCTTCTTTCTAATTGTTCTTGCTGTTCTTGTTGTTTTTTGTTATTCTTGTTGTTCTTGTTGCCCTTCTTTCTTGTTGTTTTTGCTGTTCTTGTTGTTGTTCTTCTTCTTGCTGTTCTTGTTGCTCTCAGTCTTATTGTTCTTGCTGTTCTTGTTGTTTTTGTTATTCTTGTTGTTCTTGGTGCCCTTCTTTCTTGTTGTTTTAGCTGTTCTTGTTGTTGTTCTTCTTCTTGCTGTTCTTGTTGCTCTCGGTCTTATTGTTCTTGCTGTTCTTGTTGTTTTTGTTATTCTTGTTGTTCTTGTTGCCCTTCTTTCTTGTTGTTTTTGCTGTTCTTGTTGTTGTTCTTCTTCTTGCTGTTCTTGTTGCTCTCGGTCTTATTGTTCTTGCTGTTCTTTTTGTTCTTTGTTGCCCTTCTTTCTTGTTGTTTTTGCTTGTTCTTGTTGTTGTTCTTCTTCTTGCTGTTCTTGTTGCTCTCGGTCGTATTGTTCTTGCTGTTCTTGTCGTTTTTGTTATTCTTGTTGCTCTTGTTGCCCTTCTTTCTTGTTGTTTTTGCTGTTCTTGTTGTTGTTCTTCTTCTTGCTGTTCTTGTTGCTCTCGCTCCTGTTGTTCTTGCTGTTCTTGTTGTTTTTGTTATTCTTGTTGTTCTTGTTGCCCTTCTTTCTTATTGTTCTTGCTGTTCTTGTTGTTGTTCTTCTTCTTGCTGTTCTTGTTGCTCTTGGTCTTATTGTTCTTGCTGTTCTTGTTGTTTTTGTTATTCTTGTTGTTCTTGGTGCCCTTCTTTCTTGTTGTTTTTGCTGTTCTTGTTGTTGTTCTTCTTCTTGCTGTTTTTGTTGCTCTCGGTCTTATTGTTCTTGCTGTTCTTGTTGTTTTTGTTATTCTTGTTGTTCTTGTTGCCCTTCTTTCTTGTTATTTTTGCTGTTCTTGTTGTTGTTCTTCTTCTTGCTGTTCTTGTTGCTCTCGGTCTTATTGTTCTTGCTGTTCTTGTTGTTTTTGTTATTCTTGTTTTTCTTGTTGTTCTTGTTGCCCTTCTTTCTTGTTGTTTTTGCTGTTCTTGTTGTTGTTCTTCTTCTTGCTGTTCTTGTTGCTCTCGGTGTTATTGTTCTTGTTGTTCTTGTTGTTCTTGTTATTATTGTTGTTCTTGTTGCCCTTCGTTCTTGTTGTTTTTGCTGTTCTTGTTGTTGTTCTTCTTCTTGCTGTTCTTGTTGCTCTCGGTCTTATTGTTCTTGCTGTTCTTGTTGTTTTTGTTATTCTTGTTGTTCTTGTTGCCCTTCTTTCTTGTTGTTTTTGCTGTTCTTGTTGTTGTTCTTCTTCTTGCTGTTGTTGTTGCTCTCGCTCCTGTTGTTCTTGCTGTTACTCTTGTTGTTGTTCTTCTTCTTGCTGTTCTTGTTGCTCTCGGACTTATTGTTCTTGCTGTTCTTGTTGTTTTTGTTATTCTTGTTGTTCTTGTTGCCCTTCTTTCTTGTTGTTTTTGCTGTTCTTGTTGTTGTTCTTCTTCTTGCTGTTCTTGTTGCTCTCGGTCTTATTGTTCTGCCTGTTCTTGTTGTTTTTGTTATTCTTGTTGTTCTTGTTGCCCTTCTTTCTTGTTGTTTTTGCTGTTCTTGTTGTTGTTCTTCTTCTTGCTGTTGTTGTTGCTCTCGCTCCTGTTGTTCTTGTTGTTTTTGTTGTTATTGTTGTTCTTGTTGCCTTTCTTTCTTGTTGTTTTTGCTGTTCTTGTTGTTGTTCTTCTTCTTGCTGTTCTTGTTGCTCTCGGTCTTATTGTTATTGCTGTTCTTGTTGTTTTTGTTATTCTTGTTTTTCTTGTTGTTCTTGTTGCCCTTCTTTCTTGTTGTTTTAGCTGTTCTTGTTGTTGTTCTTCTTTTTGCTGTTCTTGTTGCTCTCGGTCTTATTGTTCTTGTTGCTTTTGTTATTCTTGTTGTTCTTGTTGCCCTTCTTTCTTGTTGTTTTTGCTGTTCTTGTTGTGTTTGTTCTTCATGTTGTTCTCGTTGCTCTCGTTCTTGTTGTTCTTGCTGTTCTTGTGGCTCTCGTTCTTGCTGTTCTTGTTGTAGCTGTAGTTGTGCTTGTATTGTAAATCTTGTAACAAAGCAGAAGAACAGAAAGGCAGATAAAGCGAAAAAACTAAAAGCAGGGAAACCGAAAAGCAACAAGAAGAAAGAAAAAAGCCGAGAAGCAAAGACGCCTTAAAGCAGAAACACACAAAAAAGCCAAGAAGCGCAAAGCAGCGAAGCAGAAAAGCAAGAAAAGCAGAACAGCACAGGAGAGGGACAAATAAAAAAGATTAAAATAAAAAACTAAATGAATTGTTACCCGTGGATTAAGAACGTGCATTTGCCACGCGCTCAATGCTACGCTACTTCAAGTTAACTTGCACTTGAACACGTACTTGATGCGACGCTACTTGAAGTTTGGAGAGCTTGAGGAATTGGACGCGGCCAAAAAAATCTTCTGGATTTGCTGAGGGCAATGATTGGATCTACAACGATCCATGACTTGACGGGACAAAACACAAGCAGGTTCAAGATTTCAGACTTGCATCGTGATGTGAGTTGGGAGATCTAGAACAAAGATGGACATAGACCCATCGGAAAATTACAAAGGTTGTAGAAATAGCATGAAATAGCTCACTCTGAGACCCACTGTCTAAACGCCTGAACCACTATCATAACATCATGTACACGAGAAAAGAAGTGAGCCACTCACCAATACTGTGCTCTTCTCAAGTTGGGGAAAGGGCTGCCGAACTGCGACACCACCCAGCAGCGTCCAAGCGTTGTTGTTCTTGTTGCGGTTCTTGCTGCCGTTCTTGTCATTCTTGCGCTTGTACTTGTTCTCGTTGCTCTTGTTGTAATTACAATTGTAATTGTTGTAATTAAGTGTAACTAAGTTGCAGTTGTGATAAAACGGAAAAACAGAGAAGCAGGAAAACGAAGAGATGCTGAAGAGAAACAACACAGCAGAAACCAGCAAATGCAAGGGAACCATGAGAGCATAGAAGCAAAGAAAAGAAACAGCAGGAAATGAAAACACAAAAGCAGAAAAAAAATGGAAACCACAGAAGGAAGAAAGCAGCAAACCAGCAAAGCGACGAAACAGCATAGAAACCCGAAAAGGCAGAGAAATCAAAAGAGAAAGCCCCCAAAAAAACATCAGAGAGATGCAAAAAAAAACAAAGAAAGTAAACAAGCAAAGAGAAGTAACAATTACAGAAAAGCAAAAAGAAGCAAAAGGAGAATAAAAGAAAGCGAGCAAATAAGGAGAAAAGCAGAGAAAGCGAAAAAAGAACGAAGAAAGCAAACAAGGGAGAAAAGCAAAGAAAAACAGAAGAACAGGAAAAACAGAGAAGCTTGAAAAGCAGGGAAACCAAAGAAGCAGCGAGGCAGTAAAACAAAGAAGCAGAAACACACAGGAACCCCCGAAAATAAACCTACAACTTGTCAAAAAAAGTATAAGAAATCAATAGAAATCAACGGCCCTCCGAAATCAAAGCTTCCTGCCTGCTTCTGGCTGAAATTCTGATCAACAGGTGGGGCAGGCAGTTTAGGCTAAGTCGGCTAAGTGTTTGAACACTGAGAAGCATAGCTCCACAGTTATTTTTTCAAGCCAAGCCACACATCCATACGCAAAAGAGTCAAAATTTGGGGAGGTGGCGGCTCCATCTTTGTATCGAGGATGCGAGAAGAGATTCTGAGTCGCCCACAACCTCACTCAACTTCCGAGATCTCCCAAGAATCGTTTCCAAAATCCAAATGTTTGAGCTCCACATCCACGAAGAACACTGAGTAGCCCAAATCTCAATCCTTCGCTCAAAAAACCTGAGCCTTTCAAGCTCTAAGTTAAAAGTCGAAATTGCTTTCAAGGCACAATTTCACGCCAGTCTCCTTCTGCTTGGACAACAGCTTGTCTGAGATGACGTCCAGATTGGATTGGAATTCTTGGAGGCTGGACCCTTGAGGTGCCACATCAACGTCGTGGAAGCAGTAGTAGTCTACGCCAAGCCTTACGGCAAGGCATGGCAAGGCATGGCAAGGCATGGCAAGGCATGGCAAGGCATGGCAAGGCATGGCAAGGCATGGCAAGGCATGGCAAGGCATGGCAAGGCATGGCAAGGCATGGCAAGGCATGGCAAGGCATGGCAAGGCATGGCAAGGCATGGCAAGGCATGGCAAGGCATGGCAAGGCATGGCAAGGCATGGCAAGGCATGGCAAGGCATGGCAAGGCATGGCAAGGCATGGCAAGGCATGGCAGGGCATGGCAGGGCATGGCAGGGCATGGCAAGGCATGGCGGCATGAAGACAGCCGAAGTGGGAGCTCAGGCAGTGATCAAAGATGAGTCAAGAGTACGAGAGAAAATGAAACAAAGATGACACAAGCAAGTACCAAATACGAGATGTGAACATGAGATACTTGTAGTATACACATTGGGTAAAGTCAGCATGCAGTGATTCAGTGTACATCTTCACAGAGGTTCATTGAGCATATTCAGCTCGATTCAGCTCGAGTTTAAAGCTTCAAGATGCTTTGTGAAGAACTCGAAGGCCACATCCACCCTGGTGAGGAAAGTGTCCATCGACCCGTCCACATCCCAGGGTCTCAAATGGGTTTTGACATTGCTGAATGGGTCTGTGCCCATCTGGCCGTTGAAAGTATGCCACCAGCTCACCGCAAATCTGCACCAATCCCTGGCATGTGCACAACATGCAGTGTGTAAAACTCCAACATGTACGCATCAAACAATCAAATAATTTAAGTGTCATGATTCATGATGACTCAATGAGGAATGACATGACAAGATCTCCACGTTCTGTAATGAGAATCGGTGCTATGTGGTGCTATTGTCTTTGGAGCCCATTTTTCCAAGAAGCATAAGAAACATGAGACTCCTAGACTTGAGCGGCTGATTGTTATTTGCTCAACTTTTAAGCATCTTGAGATCGTCTTTCCATCATGTTGAGGTCACACTTTGAGAAAAGTTACTTTGAAGACTGAGACGAACTGAACAGGTAACCAGTAAAAAGGTATCAAAATGGCTCATGTGGTAGCAATGGTATCTTTATAGTCCTTAAACAATGTAATTGCTTTCATACAAGGCAGAAAGAGTCTTGGGACGTTGAACTGTGCGGCATGCACGGCGTGTGCACACCTCATCTTCTTTCCCATGATGACCTCATCCGGTTGGTAATATTTGAAGGCCAATGGATTGATGCTCTGCGGCCCCTCAAATTGGATCTTGGAGATCGAAGGGAAGAATTCGCTTCGGGCTTTCTTGGCGCTTGGTTCAGCCATGGCACGGCCTTCAACTCTACACACGCTTGGGTCCAAAGGAACTGCGGACATCTGACATCATCTGACCATCTCAAATTTCACAGTCACTTGAGTCACTTGAATCACTTGGGTCAATTGGGTCACTGGAGGCATTTCAAATGGTTCAGTTTTCCACCTGTACTCAGTTAAGCACAGAAACATACAGAAACTATTTCTCGAATGTCGCATGTCTAGTCACTAGATGTCACTAGTCCCAGAGCCGTCAAAATCAGCTCATCAAAAGTGAGCTCAAGCCTCGCCTTTTTTGGAGTGACCGACAACCTCAGAGCACTCAGAGTCTCACAAGAGATGCACAGTGAACATAATGAAATATAGCCTAATATAGCACAAAAACATACAAAAACGTCATCAAAGTGTTTCAATGTGGATGATATAATTGCATGATGTCGCATGGGTTTTCAGTTGTCACGTCCGCTCCAAGACAATGAGCTCTGCACGACAGAGTTTGTTGGGCCCTTCATGACCGTCGTCCCCTGTAACCTATCCTGTTGCCACAAGGAAATTCAAGAATCTTCGAACATCTTCGAACCATGACATTGGCACAGGATGGCACAGGTAAGTGTATCATAGTGTATCCTAGTATCCTGGACAGCTCAACTTGTTCAGCAAACATTTGATTCAAAATGCCAAAGCGGAAAGCAATGGAAAGCAGCAAAGCAAACACACTTTCCGCAGCTGACCCTTCCTCACGCACGGAAATTTCGAATTTGCCCTCTTGCACAATGTAAAAGTAGTCAGCCTGGTCGCGTACCAGGCGTACCATGGTTTTGTGTGGCTATCCATTCAGATCCATTCGGTTGTGGAGTGCACTGCGCTCTGAATTCAGCCTCCAAATCACCTTCAGTGATGAGCTTCTTCCCAGCCTTGACGAACTCCTGCAAGGGCCGTGCAAACACTAAAGGAACAGGAATTCTTCACAGGGAACATTTGCTCCTTCTTGCCCCATTCATTGAAAATAAACAAACCTTCTGAGTGAGAGCTCAGGAAATTCTGGGCGGCGTCAGCAAGAAACTCACAGAATGGACACTGCATGGACACTGCATGTCCTTCCACATCACTGCAGTGAGCTCTGGGATCTTTTCCTCCAAGTTCTGGAAAACCCAGAGGTTCTCATTGGTCCTCAGCGCCTTGCCGATGAGTCCACTCGAGTTCACTCGAGTCTATGAAAAACACCCTATTCGACACCCATTGCAAGTTCATAGTTCATCTCCAGTCAGAAGTTAGAACAAACTTTCAGTGTTCAACTTAATTCAAACTTCAAAGATATTCAAAGTATACTTTGCTCATCTTTCCTCTTCGTCCTTGTGACTTGGATTCACTCATGACTTGGAGGGACTCTGATTGACTTGGATTGACTTGGCACCTCAGCTATAAGCTTTGCTTCAACCTCGGTCTTCGCCACAGGTTCCTGCTCTGCGGAGTCTTCAGCACTGAGTTCAGTCTGGACTGACAACTTGCACCATCACCAAAATAAGCTGACCTGTTCCAACGAATGTTCTAACGAATCTAACAAATATTCTATCTGTCCTTGGCTTTGTTCAACTTCTCTTTGCTGCCACTGACAGCAGCTCGACGGCCAAACTTCAGCTTCTTGTGCAGGCCAAGGGACTGCGCAATCACTGCACAACGCAAGAAATGACAAGAACGAACCCAACGAAACGCTGGAAACGCTGGAAACGTGACTCTCAAGAGAACCAAACAGACAGTACTCGTATGATGACCCGCAAGAACTGATAAACAACAAGAACTGACTCCAAGCGGATACAAGTCCGCTCCGTTTCAAAATACAGCAATTTCATGTTTCAACGTGAACAACGTGATCAATGCCCAATCCTGGAAGTCAGATCGTGTGATCTTCAGAGACTGCACTTCACTCCTCACAACAGTCACACATAGGACATAGGAATGTGTCGGAATGTTCTCTGAGATATCAGGACATCATTGTCATATTCAATGATTTCTTGTCGGCAAAGCAAGCCTCTTAGCAGTGATTCGACAGATTGCTGGGGCTGTAGATGTCAGGTGGTCAAACGAGGTCGGTGCGCTGCAACAATGGTGGCTGCTCGCGGTTCGTCTGAGCCAAACTGGGGATTTTCATGATTTCAAGGCCGCAAACAAACAGATTAAACCAGGGATTAAACCAGGGATTAAACAGCCCTCATAGGAATTCAAGTTCTAGAGGTGTCTAGAGATGTCTAGCGATGCAAAGATTATCAAAGACTTGGAGCTGTGAGCATGTGGATTATCCACGAAAGAAGGACACCTGTGCTGTGTGCAAGAGCCACAAATCAAACTTAACTGCACAATGACTTTGCGTGTGATTTTGCTATACGCAGAGCAGTACCTAGACTTGTTATTTGCACCTTCGTTTGATACAATGAAAAGGTGTTGTACTTCAGTCCTTTGTTTCCAATCGGGCCTCGCAATAGGGCACCTTCGCCGAAGTGATCTCCTGCCTTCCATATTGCTGTCTTTCTGCACAGTCACCCAGTTGGGTTGTAAATAGCTGTAAAGCTTCAATGAATTCAATGAATTTAATGATTTTTTTTAGTGTCTCGGGACTGTCTCGGGGTCCCACCCTCAGAGTTGCAATCTTGTCACGCTGCCCATTGGTCTTTTTCACCTCGAAACAAGTGAAGGAATCGAGATTGGAATCAGTTAGAAAATGTTAGAAAGGTGAAGTATTATGAAGTTTTAAGTCTTGCGACCGCGGGTTGCTCAGGTTGGGAGGTAAAAAGATATGAAAAAATGCCAGATACTCAGCAATCAACGAAGACATCTGCTGCCCCAGTCTGGATGACAAAGAACTCCTCTCCACGCGCACCTTGCCTCAGGAGCTAGGCAGCTAGGCAGCTAGGCCGCTAGGCTTTCTTTGCTCTGCACTATGATACGTTGGTTTTTGTAAGATGAAATTACTTTACTCTTGTAACTGGTTTTTGTTCAGAGCTTGTACGGAATGTTGCACCAACGTGGATTTTATACGGGTGATACAAAGCCTTTTGATGATTTGTAGATGTCACTTCAATTCACCTCACACGGCCATGGATGCAGCCCTGCATGACCTGATGATGACATCGTTGCGCCCGAATCGGCAGCTTTCGCAAACCGAAGCCACTACAGGATGTTCGTCCTGCATTCAGGTTCAACCAGGTTCAACACTATTCAGAGTGGAAAAGAAATCAAACTGTTTCGGGAGATTTCAAACATTTTCCCATATTTTCCCTATCATTTCTTTAAAAAAGAAATCAAAGCACTCAAAGCACTGGTAAGTATCGAGGACAGGTCAGGAGAGAGGTTGAAGAAAATGTGGTTTCTTCTGGGGAAATCAGCTGCATGTCTTAGTTCTCGTACGATAACATATTTGAGCATCGTGCAATTCATTTTGTTGATTCCAACAGATTAATTTTGACATTGAGTCTTATGGTTTTATGTAGCTGTACCACGGCAGAGCCTTAAACCGCTGCATGTACTGCTCAGGATAACATCTTCGTTCGTTCGGAACGGGGGCTTACTCTTGCAGCTCTTGCGACATCATTCTCGGACTAAAAAAAAGAAATTTCAAGACATTTCAAAAGGTCAAAAAACTAAAACTCCACAGTTCGAGGTCCATCACAATCAACTGTCAGCCCTCGACAATCAAACACAATTTGGATCATTTTGGTGCCTTTTTCATTGTCACACCAAATGCTTTCAACAGGTTCATGCCTATCATGCGAACCCATATCTTCAGAATTAAATAGAGTTGTCCAAGTTGTCCAAGTTGTCCATGGTCTTTTGATTTCCTCTTTTTTTCTGCCCGTAAAACTTTGCTCGAAATGTCTGTTTGCCCGAACTGGCCTGCGGAAGCCGCTGGAATAGAGGCACACTCAGTAAGAACTCAATTTTGTCCTCGATTTTCAGTGCAAAAGCCTTTAGCTCTGCAAAATTGGACTAGTTGGACAAGTTGGACACTGTAAATCAAACCAGTTACGCCAGTTACGCCAGTCCTGATACTCTTTGTTGGCATTTTCGGCCTGCACTTGGCTCTTCCTGCCCTGCCAGTTGTTCAGTACATCTCTGAGAAGTACTAAATGTGCCAAAGATCCAAAAAAGAAATATGTATATATATATATATAAAACCAATGAGCTGATGCATGTTGATGCATGTGGGGATGGAGTTTCACTCTCCTTTCTTGCTACCGCAACTCTGCAACTCTTTCATCTCTGTTGTCCCTGTGAAAAAGGTGTATCCATTCTTCAGAGCACTTTCTCTGTTTCTATCTTTCACCTTTACTTTCACCTTTACTCCATCTTTTTTTCATCTCGCATGTCTTGCAACTGCCTTCGGCGAAGGTGGGATGTCTCCTAAGCCCGCACCTTTCGCCTCTGATGGGTGACTCCAATGGTGATCTCCTCCTTTGATCGCAGCTTTGAGGCGAAATCGAGACGAGCGCCAAATGAATCCAAGTGATCCAATTGATTTAAATGAAGAAGCATATAGCTTAAAGCATATATATATAGCTTACATATATTGAAGCAATTGCTCTCAAATGTGTTTCGGCTGCTAAGGGCTGCACAGTACCAAGGCTTGCACCACAGCCCATAGCCTGGCAGATAGGAGACCTGAAGCAAACGTGACACAGATATGAGAGAGATTATTTTCAAAAAACGGTGCCAAAAAAAGTAAAGGATCCCAAGAAATGGAAAATAACGACGTGCAAAAGAGAACTGATGCCACAATGTGCGAGTGTGCGAGATCACAATTTCAAAAAAATCTAAAGCAAATCTAAAGCAAAACACAAAAATGACGAAAATTACGAAAATGACAAAAGAAATGCACCAAATGCACCTGCGACATCCAAAGCTCCATCTTTCCAGCTGGAGTTGAGCCGAAGAGCCGAAGAGCCAAAGAGCCGAAGAGCCAAAGAGCCGAAGAGCCGAGCCAAGTTTGTCGTGACCAAATCCCAATGCAATGAAGTCATAACGGCAACAGGATACAACAGGATACAGCAGGTAACGTAACATGAACAATCCGAGTCGATCCAAAGTCAGAACATTAGAACAAGTCCTTCACTTTAACGTCAGCTGAAGTCCAGGTCTCGCATATTTGTGCCGGGTCAGCGCGGTTTTCATGTCTGCTAATGACTCTGACTGTTCATGACAACATACGACGTTTAAACCCTTACTGTCAAAAGACTCCTTTTTCGATGTGTGTGTTAAGAACTTGCAGGTATAGATGTAGCTTTCATGAACAGTCCAAATGTATCCAAATGTCAGGGAGCCATGAGAAAACACGTCCGTTCGTGTCATAAGTCGCTTTCGGACCATCCAGCAGGCTGGAAGAACAATGCCAAATTTCAGCCTTGAGCTTCGAGCTGGAAGAGCTTGGAGAAGCAACGGCATGCAGAAACAAAAAAATGTTCAAACTTCTTCAGACTTCGAAACAAAGTGCTTGGCAATTTTTGCAAGCAATGTGCAATCATTGGACATCATTGCCATGTATCCTTCTCATATTTGATGTAATACGAGTGTGATATACACGTGAAATATAAGTGTTGAGCAATATATTGTATATGCATATATATATACACGTGTAAATGTATGTATGTATGTATGTAAGTATGTATGTATGTATGTTTGTATGTTTGTATGTTTGTATGTTTGTATGTTTGTACGTTTGTATGTTTGTATGTTTGTATGTTTGTATGTTTGTATGTTTGTATGTTTGTATGTCTGTATGTCTGTATGTCTGTATGTCTGTATGTCTGTATGTCTGTATGTCTGTATGTCTGTATGTCTGTATGTCTGTATGTATGTATGTATGTAAGCAAGTATGTATGTAAGCAAGTATGTATGTATGCAAGTAAGTATGTAAGTATGTAAGTATGTAAGTATGTAAGTATGTAAGCATGTAAGCATGTAAGCATGTAAGCATGTAAGTATGTAAGTATGTAAGTATGTAAGTATGTAAGTATGTAAGTATGTAAGTATGTATGTATGTATGTATGTATGATTATGTATGATTATGTATGATTATGTATGATTATGTATGATTATGTATGATTATGTATGATTGTGTATGATTGTGTATGATTGTGTATGATTCTGTATGATTATGTATGATTATGTATGATTATGTATGATTATGTA